ATATTGTTTACGATTCAGCGAGCAAGCTTGTTAGCCCGATAGATGTCGTTACTGAGGTCTTATGTTTTGAGATACTATGTTTTCAAGAAAAACTTTTACAAAGAGTTACGTCTGTTTGTCTGTGGTTAATCGTTTGCTTGGGACCAATAGACTAGTCAAGTAGTGAGCCAATTTAAAATCATTAGTTTCGTATTGATTATTGGTTTTACCGCTGTCAGTTTGTCCAAAAATGTCAGATTGCTCAAAAATGTCAACATCATGTGAACTACAGTACACTCAAGGGGTTGGTCACTCAGCACAGTGTGCCAAAAAACACAGTAGGGCACTTCATGGCACACTCATTGCCACTGTTTGGCACCAATGGTACATCATTTTTATTATCTCTAAAGTAACTGGCATCACTGCACTATTTCTGCAGCCTGCGCAGTGAGGATGTGTCAAAACTAGATTGTTGACACAAACAATTTTTGGAATTTACAACAAATTACTTCGCCGGAGCCTCCAACTCACCCTTAAGGCCTAAACGCAATGTGGGCGGAAGCGGAGCGGAAACGAAAAGTTTGACAGTTGTCACAAATGATATTAAGATGCCTAACCGAAGTCGATTTGGTTCTAACTAGTTTTCAATCCGACAAGTTGGCCTACTCAGATCGGGCTTTTCCGCAGCCACTGCCGTTCCGCTTCCGCTGTCATTGCGCTTAGGCCTTTACTGCCATGGTCCGCAACCGGAGCAACGCTTTCGTCGCTGGTGTTGCTGCTGCCGCATCTTACGGTTACTTTTGCTCGGCGAATTGTAAGGACTGGCGGTGCCACTAACGCAACTGCTGCTACTGGACGAATCGTGCTGAAGTGTTCCTTCCGGTCGTTCCATCCCCCGGTCTTCAGCAGTAGCACCACCACCACCGCCATTTATCGCCAGCATCTCGTCGGGATCTATGAACGAATCATCCATGTGGGCATGTTCATCGTCATCTTCACCATCGAAAGGCTGGGCGGCGACGTGGACAGTCCCGTCTGCCTGGAGCAGATATTCGTATCTACGTAGCATTTCTACGGATTGGTTTTGTACGCAGGGGACGATTTTGGCAAAATTGAACTGTGACGAATTGATTTCCTGCGTCATCCATTCCGTCTCCAGAAGCTCCTGGAGACGTCCCGAAGGATGATGATATAGAATAAACCAATATAGTACGTTCAGACTATAGCTGACTATCTTGATATCAAAAGTCATACTTACGATTTCCGGTGAAAATTTGACGTATGAGTGCTCATTGAAAGACAGCCTATATTACATGATATCAGCCATAGTCTGAACGTACTATTACGAACAATCAATACGAAACTAACGATTTTAAATTGGCTCACTACTTGACTAGCCTATTGGTCCCAAGCAAATCGATTAACGTATCCCATTCAAGTCGAAATTCTAGTACTACGCAATGTTTGTTTTGATTCGCTATGAAAGTTTGACAGGTAACATGAGGGGTTAGTGGATTTTCCTATGTTTCGAGGGGTGAATCGATTAGCTTGGGACCGAAGAGAGTACCAGAGCTGAGCCAAAAAGTTGAGCACGTTTCTTCGGGACCTACTTGTCTTAGAGTAATTTACTCATGATCAAAAGTATAGATACTATAGGATAGATTCCATAGATAAGCGGAGGCACAAAAAGATGTTTTGCAATGAAGTGAAAAGCAAATCTGCAACAATGAAAGGAGGAATGGTTTACTTTATCTATCCTTCTTCCGTTGTCTGCTAAATAAATCGGAATGTGGAGTATGGAAAGTGCTTTGTGCTCATAATATTACAATACTTCTCCCGAGGGGGGCGACACATCTAAATCTCAATTCTAGATGCTCAAAAATCTCACCCTAGTGAATCAATCTTCGAAAAATCATTCTTCATTTCTCGCATCTCCTTGCATCGTGCTTCATCTTTTTGCAGGAAATCTTCAAAATAGACATAAATCTTCCTTCTATCTACTCAGCGTGCGTGCAGCTAGCCACAGCAAAACACAATCTTTTCTGCATCGTAGATAGAGTCGTCCCTCTTGACTTCTTCCTCAAACAACACCATGATGACGTCATGCTCGTTTGGCTACACTAACTGACAGTTCCTTTGGCTACATTATACTTTGCCTCCGCTTATCTATGGAATCTATAGTATCTATAATCAAAAGCTGTCTTGCCCCCAGGTTTTAACTTTAAAATGTATACACGGTTTTTCGTGAAAAAAAAATACCCATTTTCAAACCATGTATGCAGCTGTCAAAAAATGGGGGAATTTCGAAATCATAAAATGGGTGAAAAAATACCCATTTAAAGAATCAGTTCACGATTGCATAATGGGTATATTTTTTACCCACTGATTGGTGAAAAAACACTTGGAAATTTTATCTTCTCATTTCGTCACCGACCATTGGGAATGCAAACAGTTTCAGCCGTTTTTTTTTTTTAGCAAAAATGGACAATCTCCGGAAAAAGTTAAATTCCGAAACATTGGAAAGACTTACGGATAACCCTAATAAACGTGTTCCATATACTGACGATATCTTAGATGGTGCGACCATACCACATAAAATTGGGATGATATCCCGAATTGGCGGTTAGGCGCATCTTATGGTTATTGTTTATGCGGGAAGTCTATACAGTTTTATCCAATATGGTATTATAATATCTCGTGTAATATTTTTTTTCGCTGCACCTGCATTTATTTTCAATATAAATATTAGAAAGTTTTTTTATATCGACGAGGACAAATAACCCAGCACCAGCATTTGAAGAAATGGGTATTTTTTACCCATTTTACGAAAAACACAATTCAAGAAGATGGTTAAAAACACCCATTTATTGACAGATCCCCATTTACCCATTAATGAGTAAACCATAGTTTACCTATTAAATCAGGAGGGGCATTTTTAGCATTTTTAGCGGAAATGTGTGCTTTTATACCCATTAATGGGTTTTCGCGAAACACCGTGTAGGGAGCGTGCAACTTTTGAATTAACAGTTGACTAAGTTTTGTTTTGAATGCTGCAGACTTTCTAGCAAAAAGAACCAACGTAAACTTATAATTCCACCAATGTTTTTTTTTTTTTTTTTTTTTATTTTACTGACAATAACTTTTTATCGTACTTAAGCGACAAATCAGATCGAAATCGATTAAATAAAATGTAGAATGGATGAGCTTCGTTCCCGGCTACCGTGTACGTCAATAATGCGGTCGTGCTTATGGGACACAACCCTTAATTTTTTTCTTACCGTGTATGTAAGTTTAAAACATTCTCCAATCTTCTGGCATCCCTGCTAATCTGACAGTTTTTCCTTCCAGCTTTTGTGAGTGCCCCCTTCCAGTGTGAGTCCCGTCATCAGTTTCGAGAGCGAAAGCAAACCGAACGAACTCGACGAGCTCAGTGTTCAGTTTTTCTCTCGTTGCCAAGTGTACCAGGTCCGAGACCGAGACGGCTAATACATAGGTGTAACAGTCGGAAGAAGTGTTAGTTTGTTTACTTAAATGAACCATGCCCATTTTTTTATGGCATGTTTGCTATACGAAATGCGCCTCGTGTTTATTGGCGAATTTCACATCAAAGATTGATTAATTGAGTAGGAAATCAGTTTGGCACGGCATTTGTGACCAGCATACACCTTCCGGTAGTATGAAACAGGTCAAAAACTGTTCAAATCCGCAGATAAAATTTTTGTTTTGAATTTCTGTATAGCAAAATAGTGAACTTTTCGTGAACATTAACGGCAAAGAACTCACCAACACTGGGAGACTGTGAGTTCCTGCCCACCTGTTCATTTTCCATCGTGTACCAGGTCGGTGTTTGCGGAGCGCTGTAGAAGTGGTGGCGTTCTTTCATTTTTTGTGTCGGTCGCTAGGACCAGAATAAAATACGGTGGCCGTGTGTTTAGGAGTGCATTCTCTCTAGGCAGTATTACGTATTCCGAGGCGAAAAGTGGTGAATTCTATGCGTGAAGTGCATTTTTATAAAGTGAATAAAATTTGTAAGTGTGCATAAAGCATCATTGCAGTCATCTTCATCATCATCGTCGTCATTGGTTGGTTGGTTGGTGATCAGTCGAAGTCGAGACGGCTAATACATAGGTGTAACAGTCGGAAGAAGTGTTAGTTTGTTTACTTAAATGAACCATGCCCATTTTTTTATGGCATGTTTGCTATACGAAATGCGCCTCGTGTTTATTGGCGAATTTCACATCAAAGATTGATTAATTGAGTAGGAAATCAGTTTGGCACGGCATTTGTGACCAGCATACACCTTCCGGTAGTATGAAACAGGTCAAAAACTGTTCAAATCCGCAGATAAAATTTTTGTTTTGAATTTCTGTATAGCAAAATAGTGAACTTTTCGTGAACATTAACGGCAAAGAACTCACCAACACTGGGAGACTGTGAGTTCCTGCCCACCTGTTCATTTTCCATCGTGAGTCGAAGTCACGATGGAAAATGAACAGGTGGGCAGGAACTCACAGTCTCCCAGTGTTGGTGAGTTCTTTGCCGTTAATGTTCACGAAAAGTTCACTATTTTGCTATACAGAAATTCAAAACAAAAATTTTATCTGCGGATTTGAACAGTTTTTGACCTGTTTCATACTACCGGAAGGTGTATGCTGGTCACAAATGCCGTGCCAAACTGATTTCCTACTCAATTAATCAATCTTTGATGTGAAATTCGCCAATAAACACGAGGCGCATTTCGTATAGCAAACATGCCATAAAAAAATGGGCATGGTTCATTTAAGTAAACAAACTAACACTTCTTCCGACTGTTACACCTATGTATTAGCCGTCTCGAGTCGAAGTAACCTCAGCTTTTCGCTCTGCTCTGCTTAGAAGAATCATCAACGTTCCAGTCCTGGTGGGTTGGAAACGACGAGGAGGGGAATTCGGGTTTGTGAGAGTGAGCGAGAGCAAGTGAGTGTCGGTTTTTTTTGTTAGGGAAGGGGTAGGGCGGGGGTGGTGAACACACGCAACAAGAAGAAAACGCCACAACGAAGCAAAAGAAAGCAAAGAACCGTAGTTCGTGTCAATCTCTCCGTCGGTCTTGTCGTGTTTGGAGGAGCCATTGCGCTGTGTCTGGCATTCGGGTCGCGGAATTATGATTTTTTATAGTGATTTTCCAGCTGGAAAAGTGCACATAATGTAGCGGAAGCTACTTGAAAATGTTAGTGGAACTCGGAAGGTACAAATTTGTGGCGTAATTTGCGCTGGTGGGTGCGTGGAATTGGTGCTAAATCTGTTTGTGAATTCCGTTCTTCGCTGCTGGCTTTCAGCAGACTGGGGACAGCGAATTTTCTTTCCTTTTTGGATTGGCAGTGATTTTCAGGATATTTATTGTTGAGAAGGGTCGAGATAGATAGTAGAAGGTAGAAGCAAACGCAGGATAGTAATTCTAGTTCTAGTATTGGTTAGGGAGTGTATCCAACGGTTTGTGGGGGTGGCACTGGAGCAGGAAGACGGAATATGAAACCAGAAAACAGGCGAAGAAAGAAGTCAGTGAAGCAGCGTAGTAAGAGGCCGTAGTAAAGAAGCAGACACTGGAAAAGTAAAGTGCGAAGTTGAGCGAGAATCTGGCGGATGATTGTGATGATGATGACGATGATGATTTCAAGGCAGGAGAGTGCAAAAGCGAACCACCAAGAGTGCGTGAGTGGAAAGCGGATGAGTGTGTGGAACAAAAGTGGCAAACGATCTTCTTTGCGATGGGCAGTGCTTCCAGAATTCTCGAGTTTCTAATTTTAGAAGTTAGGTTTGCATCGATTGAAATGAGTAAATGGAAAAGTAATAACATAGGAGAAAAGGATGTAGTGTCGGCCTAAATGGCCCATACATAAATTTAGCAATCGACTAAATTTTCAATATCGACCAAAAATATCCATTAGTACCGTCCCAATGACGCGTTCATCTAGATAAAATTGATAAATAGCAGATTTTTAGCGATGGGCCCAATCTTAGATCCATAGGCCAACATTAGAGCCTGTTCTCAACTTAGTGTTCTTGAAGCGGTTCCACAGTTAGGAGATGTTCATAAACTAAGTAGATCGTTTTTGAGAAGTTTATATATTTCATTTGACACAAGATCTTCATTAACTTTTTTGCAAAGTGTCTGCTTACCTATGTGGTTTGTCTTAAGGAATGAATAAGGCTGATGTTTTGGAAAACATGTATAAGTGATACATGAATAAAATAATTATTTTTCGTTTCGTGTAACCGGACTGGCTGAAAGCTTATTCTTTTACTGAAAACAACCATTTTTAAGTTAGTACAGTAGTGTTCCGTTTTTGCCAAAAACGCAATAATTTCAAATTTTGTTGAAATTGACAGTTCCTTTTACGTGTTGACAGTCGTCCATACTTTTACTACACGCTGAGAAATTATTACCGACTTCACTATTGTGGTAAAGTTTTCCTTGTTTTGAAGCCTTAAAACTGATGAATTGAAATGCCTTATTTTTGCCGAACAGTTCAGCTGCTGATAGCTCGGTGAAAATTACCGAAGTCGGTTATCAATTCCAAAGCTGGGTTTAGATTAGGCAAGCCAAATGATCAACTTAGTTGAATTCAATTGGCTTGAAAAGTTGAGCATGGTTCAACCTTTTTTCAATTTAAGTGAGTTGATCAAGTCAGTTGAATGGCATGGTTTACACGTTCAATTCGCACCCAAGTCAGTTGAATTCAACTGACTTGATCAATTGACTTGCCCTGTCTCAACCCAGCTTAAGTGTCTAGATAGGGAAACGATATTTTTAGGTCCCCACCTCCCACATCCAATGGATAAATTCTGAAGATTTCTTTCATAGCAGTTAAAGGTCTCAGTGATCATCCAGAAGACTCTTATGTTTTAGCTTCGAACTCAGGTTACATCAGGCCAGTGACAAGGCCTATACCATCTTCTTCTTCTTCTTCTTCTTCTTCGCATTTCAAGCTTATTGTCTATCGCTATTAGCTTATTGCGTGCTCTCAACTTAGTGTTCTTGATGCACTTCCACAGCTATTTATTAAGAGCTTTCGATGCCTGTACCATTTTTGCATTGATATGATTGTGTGGCAAGTCCAATCATACTTCTATGCCCAGGGAAGTCGAGAAATTTTCCAACCCGAAAAATTCCTAGACCGGACCGGGAATCGAACCCAGCCACCTCCAGCATGGTCTTGCTTTGTAGCTGCGCCTTTATCGACTGAGCTAAGGGAGACCTATACCAACAGCAGTGTTTGACAGTAGGCAGCATGTCCCGGGCTCAAATCGTTTATTTTGCTGTGCTGGGCCCGCTGTCACGGTATAACATACGCACCTGCCACTGGGCTTGGTTACATCGATGATGTGACTGTTGTTGGAGTGGATGAAGCGGATCACCAACGAAACTTGCAAGCAGCTCTTCAGCGCATCCAAGAGTTTAGCATTACCATCGAAGCGGACAAGGCTTCTTTTGAGCAACGGCAGGTTAAGTACCTCCGCCATCTCATCGAAGGGCAAGGATTGCGCTTGGATATAGCCAAAATCCAAGCTCGTTCCTTGGGGCGATAAATTGTTATGGAAAATTCATCTCACGCATACCAACTTCATGATATACTCTCGACAAATTGTTGAAGGCCGGGAAGAAGTTGGAGTGGTCTTGGAATGCCAAAAATCCTGACCTACCGATCATTGTTTCGGCTGACGCGTCTTCAGTGGGAGTTGGAGCTACACAGAGCCACAAGATGCCTGATGTATCCGTTAAGGTTGTGTAACATGCTAAAGGCCCCGTCATCGTGTACGTAGTTATCATATTCAAATTCGGTGGACAAAGCTAAGTCTTGGCACAATCAGCAAGGCTTTCTTCTTCTTCTTCCTCGCATTTCAAGCTTATTGCGTATGGCATATTAGCTTATTGCGTGCTCTCAACTTAGTGTTTTAGATGCACTTCCACAGTTATTAATTGTGAGCTTTCGATGATTGTACCATTTTTGCATTAGTATAATTGAGTGGCAAGTACAATCATACTCTATATGTCCAGGGAAGTCGAGAAATTTTCCAACCCGAAAAATTCCTAGACCGAACCGGGAATCGAACCCAGCCACCTCCAGCATGGTCTTGCTTTGTAGCTGTGCCTTTACCGACTGAGCTAAGGGAGCTATCAGCAATGCATAAAACGTAAAAAAGGACTAAGATGTGTTCCTTTGATTACAACACAATCCTGTTCCTTCTAGTTTAACGTAGTTCGGAGAAGGCTTCGGTGGTAGATCTTAATGTCAATAACGCACAACGAAAAGGTAATCTACCAGGTGTTACTGGGAGGTGACGAAAACCAGAAATGGAGCCTTTGAGGCTACAGCCGCCTAAGAATTATTGGAAGCCAATACGTCAGCATCACCGATTTACGGAGATGCTGGAGGATGTTCCCGATTCACCCGAGCATTGCTCAACATTAACCAGTGCCGAAGTTGATTATTAGGTCGGTTCCAATTGGCTTTCATCCCTAGAAAAATCCATTCCATTCATAAGTTCCGAGCAGATCGGTATTTCCTTATGCTTTTTCGATAGGGTCACCTGTCCTTCACGCACCTAACATATCTGGAGCTTCCCTTCACGGCTGGATTGTTTCACAAAGGCGCTTCTAACCTTGCGATTTGTCGAAGGAATTACTGGAGAGATTCATTGCTTCCACTGGAGATGGCCTCTACTACTGCATGTGGAACCCTGATCCTCCAGTGGCCGGTAAATTGAGTGAGCAATAAAACAAAAATATTAGAAATGTTAACATGTTTGGCAGTGGTTCCAGAATTGATGGAAATATTTGATGTAACGTAAAGGTGTCGAAGTGTGTTAATGTAGGTGTTAGCACAAGGTGGCAGAGTGACTTACCCCCTATCACCATGTGGCTTCAACAATCTTATAGCTGTGTCCTACTCTAACAGTTCTAGGACAACATCGTTGCAATTCCAGTGCAGTTCAGTGGTGCAGCTAGCACGAAAGTTTATAGGCAGTCTCCGCTGTTCGATCCCTACCATCTTTTCCCATCGACCAGCAGCTCACACTGTTGGTAGACCACTCTGTCACTCTGTCTTTTTCAAATTGTTAATCCTGGATGTAAAACCAATACACTCGCTTTTGAAGTCCTCCCCATATGCCACAAAGTTGAGCGAATCTAATTCAAGAGCCACATGTGAAAAGGTCATACAAGCTTTTTGTAAACAAACCTTTGTAGGCCCTTTTTTCGACAGCCGAGGGTCGCCGACGCAAACCAACAACATCATCGGAAAGGGGAAACTTTCCCCTACCAGATGATGTTGATGGGTTGCCTTGGTGTCATATGGGTGGTGAGAAAAGGGCTTATAGGTTTGTTTACAAAAAGCTTGTATGTCCCTTTCACATGTTGTTCTTGAATTGAAGTGCACTTCGCTCTTCATAAAAACTTCAGCTTCGGTACTAAAAGTAGTGTTGATTAATTTAGGAAATAACGGATTCGCCTTTAAAGGCCCATGAACCTGTCTATATAGCCATCTGAAGTCTTCCTGAATGTTTCCTAGGTTGTTTATACAATCCTTCTCCTTTCGTCTTTCTCCTGTCTCTGCTGATTCAGGGTGTTGACTAGCTGGAAAATCAAGGGATATCAGGAAATTCATTTTCATTGAAATGCTCGGAAATTATATGATCATCTCTGAAGTTCGTTGGGAGTTTTTGAAGTTCTATAAACTTCTCAAGTTCTATGAACTGCTCGGATGTTATAAGATCATCTCTGAAGCTCTATGAATACCTCGAATATTCTTTGAACAATTTGGAAGTTCTTTAAAAAAAAATGAAGTTCTATGAACTGCTCGGAACTGATTATCTCTGGGGTTCTATAAATACTTCGGAAATTCTTTGAAAATCTCGGAAGTTCTGAGTGGACTACAACCCAGTTAAAGAACACCTATTTAGCGAACAAGTATTATACTGTTATTGAGTACTCTAGGTCTTCATTGTAAACGTGGTTAGCTCGTAAAATTTGCTTCTCAGTGAAGTTTTAGTATTGTAAAGATGCTGCTATTTCAACGCTTAAGTTTTTGCGATTTCCCGAATCCGCCCGTGAATTAGTGTTTTGGTTAAGCGTATTATCCGGAATAATTTTCCATCAGAGCTTTGTCTCAAAATAGGGTAGAGCGCTACTTCGTCGTAATCGCCCATTTCCGTTCTATCGATCAGAAAAGATCAATAATATCAATGATTTCACCGTGCACAAATCAATAATAGGTTTGTTCCGATGCGTTAGTTCATTAGACACAACATAAATCCTGTTAGAGCGCATTGCCAAACAAAAGAAGCGCTCCTAGCGAATCCCTTTTTACTACTTTTATCCGTAGGACGAAGAAAATCTAATGGCGTTTCAATGCGTTAGGACGGAATTGAAACTCGTAAGCCGAATTTAGAATCAAGAAGCAGTATTAGATTTTAAACAATATCTCAACAATTTGTGACTCTTTATCAAATCCAACGGTACGTATGGAAAGGTGAATAAATTTAGAAGTCATCTTTGACAGAAATATTCAATTTTTAGTTCAACCCCGTTCAAAAAAGAGAGGTAAAGCGGGGGTTGTGCTTAGTAGGACGGAAATTAGATCAAAAACCCTAATGCGATTAAGAACAAGTGTATCGATGTCAAATCGGGAAAAATATACGTCGTCCTCTCTACGAAAAAAAAAGATTTTAAGACCCTTGGACTAGACTACATTTTCAGGATACAGTCAGTTTAAAGAACTATTACGAGATTTTTTGTTTTTCAAAGCAAATTTCAACAGATTTAAAATTAGGCGGATCTCAGAGAAAATTCCATGGCGATTGTGAAGAGAATTCAAGGGTTCGTAAAAAATATCAAGGGAATTGAATTTTGAAGGTACAGTTCCAAAGAGGATTCCATGCGTATTTGGAGAAGAATTTCTAGATGATTTTAAGGAGAATTCCGAGCAATTTCCAGAAGAACTCTAAGATAATTCTGAACAAAATCTGAAGCTCAAAAGCTAATAGGCCCTTTTCAATTGTTGGTCGGGTATTCTACGGAGAATTCAAGACCAACAATTGAAAAGGCCTCAACTCCATTTTGCAAACAAACCTTGTAAGGCCGTTCGTAATGCTGAGTTTCAAAATTGTTTCCAACTGCTCGACAGTTCTAAAATTTGAAACTGTAAAAAATGAAACTGCAACACGATCAGCGCAACGCACAGTTTGAAAAAAAGTGTTTGATATTCATCCCTACATATGTGTGCGTGTGCCAATTTTGTTTGCTTTGGTGAAGGTGATTCTTATAGAATGTTTCCTGGAACAAGATGATTACAACAATGTAATCCAGTATCAGGTAACGAATTCAAACCACGAGAAAGGGTCCCTGACGATTCTGCTGTCAAAATATACAGGGTCACTGAACCTGGGTATCTCGGAAAAAAAAAATATCCAGAGATGTATTTGCAGACCTATGAGCAACTGAAGGTCTTTGCAATTATTTCTGAGACAGCTGATATCACGAGAGAATCTATGAGAGACGTTATTTGAATTGTTGGACAGTTGAATATCTTTCGAATAAAAGTTAATTATCCTGAAATATTGAAGCAAATATCATGAAAAGTTATTGGAGACCTATGAGCCATTGAACGCTTTGCAATAATATCTGAGAAACCTAGAGAATTCTCGATATGTGATCATCCTGAAGTTTTTGAAAACCTATAAGCACCCGAAGGCCTTTGGAACAATTTCTGAGACACCTGGTATCATGATAGAATCTCTGAGAGACGTTAGTTGAATGTTGGACAGTTACAGATCTTCAGAATAATAGTTGATTATCCAGAAGTATTGAAAAAATACCCAAAGAAATTTTCGGAGAGCTGATCTGGTCATATCTGATCATCTGAAAATCTTTGGTATAATTTCTGAGTCACGTGGTATCATAAGAGAATATTGAGAGACGCAATTTCAATTGTTGTATACCTTCAGAATAGTACATATTTAACATGAAGGCATCGACGAATATCCTGAGGATTTAATGGTGGCCTTTGGAATAATTTCTGAGCAACATGAAGATCTCCAGAATAATTGATGAACCAGAAGTATTGGAAAAAATATCCAGAAAAGTTTTTGTAGATCTCTAATAACCTGAAGATCTTAGGAAAAATTAGGATTCATTTGGTTTCTTGAAAGATGTCTATGCTGTAAAGCAAATTTGTCAACTCGATAAATTTGTCAACTCCGAACAATAATAGAATGAGATTTCGTTTTGTCATCTCGTTTTCCCCTGGCCGCCTGCCATCTCTCAGATGAGAAGCTCCACAAATACATCGATAGAAATTTGAAACATAGTACCATTCGTGTTTCAAACCCTCTCATAAATAAAACCGAAAAGTCGAGCAGTTGCAAATATGGTTCAAACTAGTGCTCGAATAATGAAGTTGCAACGCAGCATTGCGAAGGGTGCGTTTCTTTTCTAGTTTTAAATTTAAACAGTCCATATAAAATACAACAGCAGTGCGAACGGCCTAAGGCCATGTTCTCGCGAACCGAAACCCACATTCGCAATCCTATAACACAATCGGGTAGAGGAGAATTTCTCCTACCTGTTCATGTTGTTGATTTTCGTTGGCAGACTTCGGTGCGCGACAAAATGGCCTTACAAGGTTTGTTTACAAAATGGAGTTGCACAGTACTCGGCAAAGAGAGTGTGGTTCTCCCATTTGCTTCGCTTTCTTCTCCAACTTATCTTTGAGAAAGCAATCCACACAAAGAGTGGTGGTAAAATTCTCGCAGGGAACAAATGGAATACAGTGGTTACACTTTTCCGTTATTCCTGGGAGTTTGTCCTTTGTGTTCTTTTCCGCTGCTTTACAATTACAAAGGGAGAAAGGCTAGCACAGTTTGAGTTTGACTGTATTTAACTTTGTGGATTTCAGAAAATCAGTGCACTGCTCGGCACTGCACGCATTGAGTGATCAGATGCCAAGCAAAAATGTTGCGGGGTTCTGTAGAACACGATTTAGACATGAAGAATGCTTAAAAACTTCGACAAAACTTGGGCAGAGATCCCTGAGGTGAGTTTACAAAATTTCTCGAAGTGGATCGCAATCAACGAAAAATTGTATCAATATCTTTTCAATCAAAAAATGCCAATATTGGTCCCTTTTTTAAATTTTAAAGTAACTATTTGGTCACTATTTTTGTTATTTTAGTCACTAAAGTCACTACTAATATGTCTTATACCCACTACCAGCCCTGGGCTAGCGGCTTTGTAGTCAATATTAATTCTTTACGGGAAAGTTAGTTCTTAATAAATTCTGCAGAAACGCGTTTCTTAATATCGTAAGCTGTAAACTATAACCTAAAAATGAAAATTTTCAACGGCACAACTTGCAAGACTCTTTCCATTTAGAACTCAGGTTATTAAAATCGAAAATCTAGTGATATTATTTGTCGGGATAATAAAATCGGTGGCGGACAAAATTGGGAGCTGACAGAATCGGAAAGCATTGCTGTCTTTAGAGAAGATGTTAGGCAAACCATGCAATTTTAGACTATTGAAGTTTTAGATCGATTGGCCATTTTATGGTCCAGCTGTAAAATCAAACATGAATTATTATATCTCCGGAAACCATAATTGTATCCATTACACCTCTTTATGTCAATCCAATTTCAAATTGGTAGACATTTGGCACAGTGCCTCAATTGGTGCCTTCACTCAAATTTGTGTTTTTTTTTATGTTAACAAGGTAGTATCACTGCTCCTGTTTCTTATCACAATCGGTAAGATAAATTGACTGATTAAAAACCGCAGTAGGAGACGAAGCAGCCCAAGGCTGAAAGTCTCTATGATAAAGCAAAAAATAAGCGTCGACTGCCTTAACGATTTCGGTTTGGCTGAGTTATGCTAAGAATATGTGCGCGACAACCGAACGCACATCCTACCTAATTTAACGCAATCGAATCCAATAATATTCAAAACTCTAATCCCGAATTCCGCCAACTCTGGCAACACTGTTCGCACTTTTGACGTATGCACAGAACGTCTTTTTACACATTTTCCTCATGGCCCTCTTTCTATTCTCGCGCTGTATGGTTGTGTTCGTCCGGAGCGCTGTATGAGTGGATATCGTGCTTTGCTGCTCCCACCGTCATCGTCATTATTCGTCATCATTCTGTCGGGTCGGGAGGGTATTCTCCTCCACGGAACATCGGGTGTTCTTTCGGTCATTTCAAGAGCCACAGCCAACCAGTCCAGGCTGCTCTACCAGTAGCCGCCCAGCAGCACGCAGCAGATAGATAAAATGACTGACAAACTTATCGAGGTGAAATTGGGTGTGTACTGTTTGCAATTGGTGATACTTCATTAATGAGTAGCAGGTACAATAGAAGAAAAGCAAAAAAAATCAGTGAAAGGTGGTGGATTTGATTAGCAGAGAAAACTGTGCAAATTGTGTTGGTGTGCGCTCGAATTTCCCCGTTAGTTTCTTGTTGCAATTGTGGTTTTCGCGATTTTCGCTCTTGCCTTTCTACCTGGACGAGCTCGATGGAGGAAGAAAATATGCTGTAAACAATATTGAAACCCCAAAGCAGGAGCCCCTCGTCTGTTTCGGTGCCATGGTGCACTGGTTTCTAACATCGGTTTTCTTTTCCAGTTTTTTTCAACAATAACAACAACTACTACAATCGGTTTTGCCAGTGTGAATCAAGTAAAACAGCACGACAGTTGCGGTGGCATTTCCCTACAGCAGTGGAAGAAGTAAAAGTGAGTGTAACGCGATTCTTATTGATTTTCGCGAATGTTTTCCCTCTGGTTTGCAAAAGTCCGTGGCTGACGACGGAGGAGCTGAGGTTTCTTTTTGTTCGTTTCGACTTTTCCCTTAGCCCGTCTGCCCGTGGCTGGGAAAGCGATAGTCCAGTTCCCAGCGAAGAAGAAGCCTCTAAGTGGAGAGGTAAGAAGAGCCACTTGGAAGGCGAAAGAAGAGTGGCGAGAAGAATCCGGTTCTTCACATAAGCATAAGAATACATACATACATACGTGCATGGGTGCTGTTCTTGGTGGGAAATAGATGTGTAGTGTAGAAGAAGCTAAAGTGCGAATAATAGTTTTTACGAAGACGACGACGACGAGGAGACCGCCGACAACCGGATCACGGATGTTGGGTCTCTGAGAAGAAAGGAAGTGAAAACAAACGACCTCGAAGATTGATCGTGTTGTGCTTGAGAAGAAGAATAAACAAAAGAAGATTGCTACACGATAGAGATCAGGAAAGTGGATCGCCCGAACGACAATGTTTAAATGCATCCCGATCTTCAAGGGCTGCAACCGCCAGATCGAGTATGTGGACAAGCGGCACTGTTCGCTGCCAAATGTGCCGGAGGAGATCCTCCGGTACTCCCGATCGCTCGAGGAACTGCTGCTCGATGCCAACCACATACGGGACCTGCCCAAGGTGAGTGACATTTATGTGTTAAAAACCCAATTTTTTTTATGTTGCATCGAAAACTATGCACGTCACTCATGTCGAGAAAGTCGGACTACTAGTGGGTAACGTAACTGATTTGGACGAAATAGAAAACAATCATTCGCTATTAGAAAATCTTGAGTTAGCACTTTGATTTTGATGTCTGTGTTTGGGATGCTTGCGTCCCATCCGAAGGCAACATCAGGGTGATCAGTAAAGCAGGATTTTTTTTTTTTTTTTTTTTTTACATTTTCAAAGGAACGTATCTGCTTTTGTAAACAAAGATTCTAACGTAAATCTTTTGAAACTTTAAGCACACAAACTAACACCACCATCAGAATGGATAATATGCCGGCGCCGGTGGTGTAGTGGTAAGCGTGACTGCTTTCTAACACCCCGATGTGTCTGGGTTCAATCCCAGCCGAGGTCGGTGGGATTTTTCTGAGGCATAAAAATCTCTGGTCACGTCTTCCTTCGGAAGGGAAGTAAAGCCGTTGGTCCCGGCCCATGTATGTTGAATGGGTGCGATATCCTACGCAGGTGTGGAAGCTGCCTTCCTGCACATTCGATTGCCGTCAATGGATGGCAATCGATGTCCGTCGGTGATTGGCACTAGATTGCGGAACAGAGACCGACGTTAAATAAAGGAAAGAATGGATAATATTACCCCAGCAAGATGGTGACGTTAGTTTGTATGGAAGTGTCAATAGTTTCGACAAATTGACATTTGAATCTTTGTTTGCAAAAGCAGATACAAGCGGCGCCGGTGGTTTAGTAGTAAGCGTGATTACCTCTCGCCCCAGCAGGCCTGGGTTCAATCCCAGTCGGCGCCGCCGGGATGTTCTGAGGCATAACTTCTCTGATCACGCCTTCCTTCCGAAGGGAAGTAAAGCCGTTGGTCCACGGTTCATGAGTTGATAGGTCGATAGGTAGGGTCCAGGTGTGGGAGCTGCCTCCTTGGCGTCGGTAGCATTGGTGTTCAGCAAGGAAAACAAGATCGACGGAAAACAAATCAAGGGAAAAAAGCGGGTACGTCCAGGTCTGTCATGGTGCTTACTCATTGTTACTCCCAGAGTAATAAGCTACAAAAACCAATTTGTTAATTTTTACTAAAACCTAATTGGGTGCCGAAATATCGATCTAGGTTCTACCAAGAACGTTAGAGAATATGCAAAACAATTCAGAAAAGCTTCATTTCCGGAGTGATTTGAGATTTGGGCGTAATTGCTTTTGTAAACAAAGACGTAAATTGCCAATTTCTCTTTAGATAAAGCTTAATCTCATAAATAAACTGTACCAAATGATAGAGGAATAATTCATTTACCTCATAGCGTTATTAGTTTTTGAGATTGAGCTTTTATTCGCGAGAAATCGGTGATTGACGTGTTTGGTTACAAATGCAATTACGCCCAAACCTCAAATTATTCCGGAAATACTTTAGGGAAGTTCCAACGACCACAGGGAGTCCAGAAATTTTGGGAAGTTAGAAGATTGATTAAGGGTTAGTTCTGAGTACGTTAGGGCAGTTCCATAAAGCTCGAGAAAATGTAGTGAACTTGATGAAGATAGGAGAATTTCTTGACAGCTGTAACCGTTCTGTTACAAAGGTTTAATACAATATTTTAAATAAGCACCATGTGATCGAGCGTTCAAGTAAATTTGTATAACACTTGCGGTGAAACCCACTGGGTAGACGATACGGCCTTGCTTTACGGCCGACTGCTGAATAAGGCGTGGTGCATGGCCGCAGAAAAATGATGACGCGGAGTCACGGGTGATGAGCTGAAGGATTCTGCGATGCTTAAAGAACGGCCATCGTTCACTTTATCTCAGGCGAGCGTGTAGGCCAGAAGTGTCTGTGGAGTATATTTTAACAAAATACTATATATATAAGTGCGAGTAGTGAATCAAGGTGAAGCATAAATCACCAATTCAGCTGATTCAGGTAAAGTCTAGCCTTCCTCGAAATTGGTCGAAGATCCGCACTAATGGATGTTACCTCCTCGCTAGGACCTTTTTCAACCAATTAAATTGCATTCTGGTTGGCGAGTCAAGGATCTACGGTCTAGGTGATATTTAGTTACCTTGACCTAAACGTAAAGGACATTGTTCTCGGGCTGAAGGCCCTAAACGTCAAGGAAAATTTCCCTTCCCGGTTCGAGAGAGGGCGGCCTTGCCGTCGTCGACCGGCTTCGTCAGAAAGAAGCGCCTGTGCATTGGAACCATCTCCACAAACCGCTATACCAGCCCCGGCAAAACCCACCCGCCATCGCCCTACGCACAATTTCACCGAGCGGTGGTACCGCCATCTTGCCGACAAGATCGGCCGTTCATCGTCCGCCATCGACAGAATCATTCAGGAACTACAGTCGTCGTAGTCGTCATTGTCGCCAAGGGTATGTGCAAGAAAATCGATCAAAACACCTCAAAATCCACTCTATCGTTAATTAAAAAAAAAAAACAGTGTTTAAGTTGATCCGCGCTATGTTTCAGTTCATTTGAAAGCTTGAGTGCCTTTTAGTCCGCGTAGCCCCTCCAGTTTGCCAAGTAGTGCCCCGACTATGAGACACAGTTCAAGGAGTCTCGTGCTGCTGAGTTGTTGTCGGGCAGAACATTGGTTTCACAGTTCCAATAACTTCAAGAACATGTACATGGTACTTTAGAGCAGTGGCGTCGTCCTAACCTCAATCTACATGTTCAACAATTCCAAAAACGAAAACAAAATGTATTGCTTTAAATCGATCCAAATTCGGGAAACTAGAAGAATATATATGGCTCTAAATTACGTTTCCAATGTTGTCGGACAGGTAAAAATAAGGTTACGCGACGCCACTGCTTTAGAGGAACTTTTAGAAATCTCCTGTTATGTCTAAAGATCTTTTAAAAAGGTCAGAGAGCTTCGGGAAAGTTCTGATAACTTCAGCATAAATTCTGAACATCCGGAAAACATAAAAAAAACCTGAGGTAAATTCCTAGAACTTATGGAAAATTTTAAGATTTTGAAAAAAATAAGGCGGGAGCTTAAACGAGGTTCCAAGAAAAAATAAGAAGTTTTTTTTTTTTTTTTTTTTTTAATCCTTTATTAGAGAAATTTTTAGCCTAAGGCTAGTTCATCTCTTCAAGAAGAAGAAGTGAAGGGGGGTTAAGAGATCTTCAGGATAGTTTAATTAATTTCAGGGCTATTCCCTTAACTCAGTCGGTTAAGACGCAGCTACAAAGCAAGACCATGCTGGAGGTGGCTGGGTTCGATTCCCAGTCCGGTCTAGGAATTTTTCGGGTTGGAAAATTTTTCGACTTCCCTGGGCATAGAAGTATGATTGGACTTGCCACACAATTATACTAATGCAAAAATGGTACAGGCATCGAAAGCTCTCAATTAATAACTGTGGAAGTGCATCTAGAACACTAAGTTGAGAGCACGCAATAAGCTAATATGCGATATGCAATAAGCTTGAAATGCGAAGAAGAAGAAGGCTATTCCAGAAACATCATCAAAAAAATAACGAGAACTTCAGGGAAGTTTCAAGAATGTCAGGATAGATTAGAGAACACTAGAAGGGTCCATACATGTTTAAGCACTTCAAAACAGATCCGAGGAATGAAAGCAAATTCCGAGAATTTCAGGGAAGGTTCATGTACAAACCTAATAACTGGCTGGAAGTTTTCAGAAAATTCGGGGACGTCTTGAAATCTGCAGAGAAGTGCACGGAACTTGAGAAAATTGTACTTTATAGAAATTCCAAGAACCTCAGCCAAGCCAGCTCCAGAGATCTTAAGGCAGTCTTAATAACTTCAGGACATCATTTCGGGAAAGTCTGTAATGATCTATAAGGATTCGTTTCGATTAATTATGGACAGCTCCGTGAACTCCCGAAAAATTTCAAGAAACTTTGAGAGTTCTGCGCATTTCAGGAAAATCCTGACAACTATTTCGAAATTTGGAAAACTTCGTACATATTTTGAGAAAATCTTCGGGTGATGAAAATTGTGTGAACTTCCGGTTAGCTTCAAGAACATCAGAGATGGCCAGTGAACCTCAGTTCAGATCAATCAACTTAACTTTAAACTCAGCGAATTTCCGAAAACTGCAGTTCTGCAGATCCTCAGGAAATTCAGAGAACTTCAGAGAAGTTTTGAGATTTTTATGCAGGTTCGTAATTTTCAGGGATTTTCCGATTACTTGAAGGATTATCAGTGTTAATTAATTGCAGGAACTTTCAACAATTACCGAGTTTTGTATGCACTTTGCCTTAATTTAAGGGGGCGCATGGATTCGAGGTGGGTGAGAGCTCACATATGCTAAATCAGTGAGCAACCAGCTCTAAGTTTACCGTGGCAGCGCTGGATACATCCCTTTGAAAAAGTAATCGAGAAATGTACTGTTTAAATACATGATCAAACAAAATACGACAATCAAATCATATTAATGCCGCGGATACACTTGGGTGACAAACTATGAGCATGAGCATTATTTGTATAATAATAATGAGCACTACACAACAACTATACAAGTGTGACCTTGGATGTGCTCATAACATGTTATGCAAATAATGGTCATGTTTTGGGAGGACTGTTTCAGAAGAAGTCGTAAGAATCTTTTGAGAGAAGTGGAGAGACTTTGGAGAAATAATGTCGGTTGCAACTTCTCGGGAATTCGGAAGACAATTACAGAAAAGTTTGCATTTTCCATAAGCTTATTTAAAAAAAAAATCATGCCAAGACAATTCGAGCTATTTGGGTTTTAATTTTTTTCTGAATTTTTACTTGAAATAAATAAAATCAAACATTGTTGGCTTATTTTTCCCAGAAATACATTATTTGTATAACAACTTTGTCTTGGACGTCATTTCGATCAGAAATGTCGTTTCTGCTCTACAATTTTTTGAAAAATTTGAAGGACGTCATTTTGAAATTTGGACTCGGCGGTTTGGCAGTCTCGGAATTCTGTGCAGAACACTTAAGGTGATACTCTAAGGAAGCCTTAGCGT